TTTACCTGTAATTTTGTATACGTGTGAATCTTGGCCTCTTAGATTAAAGGAAGAATATAGAGTGGGGGTATTTGAGAACGGGGTGCTGAGGAGAATATTTAGATCGAAGGCAGTTGGAGCGATAAGAGATTGGAGAAAACTGCGTAGTGAGGAGCTTCATAAGCTGTACTCTTTGCCAAATATAATTGGACTGATGAAGTCAAGGAGGATGAGATGGGCAAGAAATATAGCACCCATGGAGAGAAGGGGAATGCATGTATGATATTGATGGGGAGGCCGGGGGGAAAGAGACCACTAGAAAAACTTGGGCGTATGGGGGTGGATTATGTAAAAATGAATCTTAGAGAGACAGGGTGGGATGATATGGACTGGATTTATCTGACTTAACTACAGGGACCTGTGGCGGATTTTTGTGAACACGGAAATAAACCTTCGGGTTCCATAAAATTTTGGCAAATTCTTCCGTGACTGAGTGACTGGAGGCTTCCCAATAAGGTCTCAGCTCCATGCAGTTAATTTGTGTTGTGTTGCGTTGTGTTGTGTTATGTTGTGTTGTACTGAGAGGGAGGATAAACGCTAGTCGCCTCATAAGCACTCAAGCCTCTACTGGCTCTCTTTTGCGTCCCCAGTGTTGCTTGTTAGGCTTGTCCTTTTCTGCGCCGTCCGTGTTGTATCAAAGAAAAGTAGGCGATCAGTTCTTCCCAGAACTCATTGTATTCTTGATGGACAGGCTATTAATTCCCACGAAGAGACCTCATTCAGCCTTACCCTCGCGGGTCCCTCATGAAAGACCCTGAGAGCTAACGACTGCTTCCTCTCGCCAGTAGGGACCAATATCTGCACCCTCCACTGTCAGAGGAAGATCTCTTGGATTGGTGACAGTAGGACGTCTACAGCCACGCATTGCCATTCACTGACAGTGACAGACCACACCCAGCAGCTGGCTCCAGCTGGCTCCGTAAATGAGCTCCAGCCTCGGTCTCCGTTTTTTTCCAGAAGACCCCCTTCTACTGTCTTGCTTCTTCACTGACCTTTCCAGCCTTCTTCTTCTTCTTCTTCTTCATATGTTATGCACCCCTGTCAAGAGATTTATTACAGGCCTGCCCTTAGTAGACCCTCACCAGTGCTCCAGAGAGATTTTGCTGTCTATCCAAGAAAGAAGAGAAGAAGGCCCAAAGCCTACGCCCTTCCAAGGAAGGAGAGAACGCAACTCCAAAGCACGGGCGGCAAGGACGCTCCAGCTGCCTACTTGCGCACCAGGGACAGCAGAGCCCCTCCCCCTAGTCCCAGCTAGACTCTTAATCGAACGTCAGCCGAAGACCGAGCAACCGCGACAGGAGTCCCCCCCCCCCCCCAATGCCACATCACCTGTTAGTCTTCTCACTTCATCTTGGTAGACAGTTTATTAACCCGTATGGAGGTACCTCTTACAGCCTTGCCCTCAGTGGAACCTCACAGGCGCCCCTGAGGGATTAGAATGCTTTTCCTCCTACAACAGCAGAAGAGCATGAGCCTGAGCCGTTCAAAGCAAGGACAGTAGCCCCCTCCAGAGCACTGGCGGCAGGGACCCTCCAGCTGCCCCCCATCGTTGCACCAAAGGTAGCACAGCCCCGATCATTGCTTAGCTTACTCTTCGACACTGAAGATGGAGGCAGTACGTTATTCGGAAACGTCAGCAAAATCCTATCGGATTACACGGAGTTACACAAGACAGTATGCTTCGGGGGAAAAAAAATCGTAGTTGTCTTTCATCATTATCCGAGAACAAAACTGAAACCAAAGTCCTCATGTGACCCGCGTGTATATTAACAGTAAGTCCTGCGATTCTTATTAGAAAGGCAACGTTTCCAGGCTAGTATGATTAAGTTTTACCTGTTTTTCTATCCCTCAAGGAAAATTCCGGGAGAACTTTAATATAGATCAGACCAGTTCTTCCCACAGGATCTAATCTTTCCGGTTTGTCATTCGCAATTACGTAGATCGACGCTTCAGGACCACTGCAGTAAATACCGGGCCGTAAAATAACAGAATAACCAATCTTTATTTTAATAACAAGTCACGTTTTATTGACCACCGTTATCTGTGTAGGTGTTATAATGCTTTAAGATGCTGGAGTATTACTAGCTTTTTTGGCACCCGGGATAAAATCCAACGGCTGCTCATTTCCTAGTTCACATTTTACAGCACTGCGAAAATTGCAGTTGCATTTCATTATACTTATGGCATTTGTGTGGTCGGAACACAAACTGCAGATTAAACACCATCAGCTCTTTCCTGTATGGGTTTGAACTCTGTTGTGAGGCTGCATCCGGGGCAGCTGCCCGGCTCGAAACCTCCCACTTCCGCCTCTGGGGAGACACAAAAGCATTGAAAGACGTGATCAACTCGGTGACTATACCACTGTCAACAATGGATGGAATAATCTGATTCCATAATTTTGTGCGTCATGGTTCTTATCATGCAGTCAACGGAGATACGATGCGAAATAAAGAAACTATTCATACAAATCATGTATATCGTAGCGAGTTTCTTCGTGTTCAATCTAAACAACCGCCCCTTTACTTGTATAACGACTGAGACTAATTAACAATTATGGCATTTTTTTACCTCCATCACCTCCATGCCCTCCTCTTCTAATGAAGTTTTATTTAATCCGATCCGCATAGCTTAATTCGGGTTACTCCAAATGTTTCAAAATATCTCAGTTTACTTATGTTCCCTAGTCTACTAGATATGCCCTACCTCAACTTGGCCTACGTACGACAGTGTACCTCAACTAAAAAAATAACCTCATACTGGTTGTGAGACCTAATCTAATTATACCAAAACCTGACGTAACCAAATCAAGCCTGATGTAAAATAACAAGAAACAAACTCTCTCTTTCCACTTTACACACAAAATATCTCCCTTCAAATAATTGACTCATACAGATTAAATTTATTTGATGTTTGAGAAGAAGTTATGACTATTTCTGAATTTCAGAAATATTATGGTGAAACTGAATTTGCAATAACATATCCCCTTAATTCATTAGAATTCATACTCAGATCTCATGCGACGTTTCATTATCTCTACAGCATGCGTTAATGAGTTTATTTTGCTTACATCAATAGGCCTGAATCATTCGTCCATGCATGTGGCCCATGATTGGATGCAATAATATTGTCTCGGCATGAGAATGGACACGTTTTCCATTCGGTTGGTTTCAGTGCTCAACAAAATATTATCTGGGAACAAACATTATATGGCTGCAGTAGGCCTGCGGATCGGTCGCTCGGTCGGTATAGTTCGCTTGCGGACTACAGGCCAAGGAGTTTAGTTTAGTTTTTAGGCCTACAGATTCGTACGAACCACTTGCCCGTTCATCCATTCCTCTTTCTCGACCTTTATGATCTTAATTCAAACTGCCTTCATATACGAGTGTCTCACAGATCGGTTAGAGGTCTTTATTTCTCAGAGAGTAAAAATCAGGGTCAAAGTTATTTTACGACTGGCTGTTTACCGCCAATCAGTTCCTCTTGGAGCCAAGCCCCTTGAGGATTACGACCAGAGATTTCTTCAGTCGAACTCTTGTGGTCATAGTCCTTATGTAACTTCCTCTCTGATGAGAGAGTGGGTTTGACTGTTATGAATAGGTTTCGCCTTGGTCAGGTGTACGAGTACATATCACACATATAGCGTGTTATTCAAAATTCCTCCTTGTGCACTATATACAGTTGTTCCTTGTTCACTATATTCCCTCAGTCCAGGCTTTGCATAGCAGAGGATTTCTGTCTTACTCATCTTATGATACAATGGAGCTTAGTCACTTTTCATTCATTCATTCATTTATTGTATATTCCATAAATCCATATACATAGATATAGAAACAGTCACATAATTAATATAGTACAATACAAATATAAATACATATGTACAGTTTATAATCATTAAAATAGATAAAAAAACGTGTTAAATTTATATCAAAAAAACAGTTTTACATCACTATACATAAAATTATGCAATATTACAATTGTTTATGCTATTATCCTTATTTCTAGGCAAATTTGTTACTAAAGAATTCATCACCTGTATAAAAAGAAACATGTGTTAAATTTACAGTCTTACATCACTATACATAAAATTATGCAATATTAAAATTGTTTATGTTATTATCATTATTTCTAAGCATATTTGTTACTAAAGAATTCATCACAGACTTGAATGGTCTTAAGCTTGACCACCGCCAAGTTTATGCCTCTAATAATTTTTATGTCTGGCTTCGCCTTGTCCTATGCTGCGAACATATTTCTGACAAACAGATTACAGTTATCATGTTCCTTGATCTAGCAATTGCTCCATCTACGAAGGAATTCTGTTACTGTGGAACCCCAGGTTTGGTAACACGAGCTAATCACTGGCTCCCATCGATAGCAATTTCACCTTAGTTCTCAAACTGAAAACCTAGTCTTCCAACATCCATTTTGTCTTCTCCTCTATGAGTAAATTTTGCATTGGGTCTTTTCCTACGAGGTTTCCAACCAGAATCTCAGTACCTTGTATCTCCTCTGTCACAGTCATGTAAAAAACCAATCTTATTCATCTTGAACCAATCATCTTGTTCACTGATCTATGTATTTTCTTATTGTGGGAAAAAGTAATTGTAAATACAAAAGAAAAGGCCTAGGCAATGCCCATCCGCCTTGTGTAGCACATTTTTTAAGCATCTTTTTCTATCATAGCTGTCATCCCTCCGTTACCCAGCGCCATCTCTCCTTAACCTTTAAACATTACACGCTATCATCCAAGAGAATGCCGGTGTAGCAGTTGACGTCACCAACGGATAAAATCAACTTCTATGTAGTTGGCTGCATGTAGATTGTGCTTAATTTTCGAATTTATAATGTTGGCATGTGTGGTTGCAAAGCGCGACGAGAAGTACACATAGATTTCAATACAGTCATTGGTCATTGACATATAAGCTCCTGAAAGTAGGCGGGAGTAGGAGAGTATTGTGAGTGTTGTCAGAGTTGAATTGTTTAAATTTATTTAATAGTTATCACATAGTAGATTGTATGGAATTCGTCTCAGATGTTGGTTATATTATAATTAGATTTGAAGTATGTAGTTAGTTACTGATGTTACCAAGTTGCTACATATTGGCATTTTCAGAAGAAAGTGGTTTTCCTGACCGTGGAGAAAGTTTTGTCGTCACCGTAAAACAGTATCACTTTATCGTGACAGTGGTCACTTCAGATGATTATATTTGTGCTCCCTCTGCTGAGGATTCTGAAAATCAGACCTAATGAAACTCCACATACTCCCTTTAGCCAGTGAGTACACATTGGCACCAATAATATAATTTGCAACATAGAAATGTTGCTGACAGACTCTGTGGTATATAAAGGTAACACGAGATATAAACTTCATTTACACAGATCATTAGCTAACCTTTATGGACAACAAAAATGGAAGGATGAAAGTGTGTAGTAAGCTGCCCCTTGAACTTAAGTACTCGTCTTCAAATACAAGTTAATTAAAGATAAAGTTGTCCGTGTGCTTAGTTAATTAAGCACGATGCCATAAAGACATATGGGGGAGTGGCGGTATAGAGCCATCTTTCTTGACCTTGGCACAAGCCCATAGCTCATTACTATACTGACAGAGCTAGGATCTTAAATAATTGCTTTTGACCTGCAGCTTGGTATAATTAAATACCCACTGTGAATAGAAGGTAATTTCAAGTATCCTTAAAGTAATTCCTTTTGACATGCATTTCCTTCTCTGTAGAATTTTGGGGATTGAATAACAGGTGTACTTAAGAATTTAATTATAAACCCTTACATTGTTATCTCTGTATGCATACTTTGTTTATTAAGTCATGTAGTATTTAGTGTATTTGCCTTGCTTGTAGATTTTGAGTGTAGTGTGAATATGCTTGTTCACATGGACAATTACCTTTAGTTCTGGAACTTCTCTATAGAGCATTAATGTGTGTATAAGTGTATCCTGCTCACAGAATGAGTCTGCCCAATTTATATCAAGTGTTTTTGTATCATAGAAAGAATTAATATTTTGATATGCATCATTTGCAGTTAAAAGTGGATTCATTTATTTCACACCAGCATATCATGAATTGGATATTGTGGTATATTAATATAAGTGATGGTTTTCAGATTGTGACAACTTATAAATTTATAAATTTAGTTCCAATTTGGAATGTAAGATTTCATGTCACATAAGTGTACATTGATGATTGGTGAACAGAATATTGATTTGCTTTGTTTCACGTGTGAGAAAGGCTGTTCGCATGTATATATCGAGGTTACACATGTACTGGCAAAAACTTTGAAAGTTAATGTCAGCACTAAGTATGACAAATCTGTTGAAGAAGTGGTAAGTGGAATCCCCCTCCCCAAACAGGGTAGCACAATGTAGGATAATTAATAATATTTGTTGATTGTTACAAAGCGTCACACACTTCTCTGAGGTGGGTGACTAAAGATTGAGGGATTGTAGCCACCTGTTTTTAGTAACTATTGTTGACAGCCAAGTTCTGCAGTACTACCAAGTAATGAACTCATTGCTCAACAAAATAAAATGGTTTGAAACTATAAAACTAAACAAGTACTGTGGTATGGAATTGTGCATCCTGGGATGTTTGCTCCAATTGACATTCCCAAGGAGCAGCCTTAGCTGTAAATTACTTACTGATAAGTTAGTGGGGCTATATGAAGAGGTTCTGTGGACTGCATGTGGCCTGTGGGTTGCATCCAGCCTTTGGGCCATAGTTTGATAACCTCTGCTATACAAGATTGCAAATGTTTACCAGCATTATTTCTTTTATTTATAAGACCGATTGTGTGATTTTTAATTAAACAAATAGTGATTTGGACAGTGTATCTCAGTGTTGTACTTGACACTGAACTGGATTTTGATCATATGTTAATTATACAGGGTGAGGCAGTGGACTGTGGTGGTTTTCAAAGTGCTACTGTAGCTGACTGAATGAAGTGGAAGGGGGAGTATTATTCTCCAATCTGTGCAGCTGCTTGTTTGTTGACTGTAAGTCAGGGATAGCTCATTCAGTGCAGTGATAGGTTATTGGCCAGATGGGCAGTGTTTGATTCCAAACAGAGGTAAGTTTTCTCTTCTCTCCACAGCAGCCAGATTGGGTCTGGGGTCCACCAAGTCTCTTATCGAATGGGTACCAGGGTCTCTATTCCTTGGGCTAAAGCAGTATGGACGTGAAGCTCACCAGTCACCTCCAGCTAGTGCTGAGGTCAAGAGTGATGGAGCATTGTATATCTCCACTCCCATTATGTCTTCATGGCATGGTGCTTAATTAATTAAACACTATTACCTTACCTTAAGTCAGTAGCACAGGTCCAAAGGACTTTACATGTGAGTTTTGTGTTGATAAGCCTTGTAGAATTTCTTCCTCTAACAGTATTGTAAAGTGAGTGGAAATTTTCAGAATACTGACAGCGTTTGTGATTGTTTGTCAGTAGCTAACAGTCAGTCTGCATGCTGGAGAATGTTGGCAGGGTTAGGGAAGCAGTGACCAGCTTATTGTGCTGGACATCACTTAGCTGCTCGAAGCCTTTCAGACAAAGGTTTTTACCACATTCCACATGATAGCCTCAAATTTTATCAGTACAAGATTCAGATTGTGCAAGAACTGCAAGACACACAAAATTGCATAGGTGGCTTTCTGCATGTGTTGTTCAGTGTCTTGAATACATGTCCAGATATTCTTTACAAATTATTTCCGATGAAGCACGCTTTCATCTCTCTTGCTATGTCAGTAAACAGAATTTCTGATATATATGAGACAAACTCTGTCTTAAATGCAACAATTTAATTGTAGTTCTTTCTTCTTCCCTTCCTCCACGTTACATGTTTCGGCCCCAAATGGCCATCATCAGGTGTGTATTCTTACGTAGCTGCTACACTGCCTGTAGTTTAAAATTTTAAAATCACCAGTCTTTCCAATTGTATGTATGTATAAAATCTTTGTTAACCTACACCCGTCAATTTGATTTCTAAAATCAAAATTAGAAATCAAATTGACGTGTATAGGTTAACAAAGATTTTATACATACATACAATTGGAAAGACTGGTGATTTTAAAATTTTAAACTACAGGCAGTGTAGCAGCTACGTAAGAATACACACCTGATGATGGCCATTTGGGGCCGAAACATGTAGTGTGGAGGAAGGGAAGAAGAAAGAACTACAATTAAATTGTTGCACTCAAGACGGAGTTTGTCTCATATATATTGTGTGAGTGTAACAGGATGCTTAAATATAATATTAGAATTTCTGATATTGAAGGGATGAATGACCCCACACAGGTTTGTAAAAAATGGCTACACAATGCAAAGGTTACAGTTTTTTGTGGTGTGTCTCCCTTTGCAGTTATCAGAGTAGACATTATTGAAGAAGGTAACCACTCACTGACTGTAACCCTGGAGCAATAGCTAATAATGTTTGAAATGTTGGAAGTGGTTGATGTTTGGTTCCAACAGGGTGGTACCATTGTGCATAGAGCTAAAAAATGAACGAACTGTTTGACAGCCATTTTCTGGGCACTTGATTTTACATTTTATCACATTGCCTGGCCATGTAGGTCTCTTGACCCGACAGTGCCTGACTTCTGCTTTGGGAGGATATTTAAGATCATAAGATTATGTCAGCAGACCTTGCACAATCTCGGAATTTAAAGAAAATGTCTCTGACAAAATTAAAACAATTGATATAACATTTCAAAGGTAGGAGGATTTTTGATCAAGGTTTTAAAAATATGTCACATGCCATGGGGGCCATTTACAGATTGTTATTTTTAAGACTGATTATTATCTAATAAATTGCATTGTACTATTTCTGTCCCTGTGAAATTGTTTTCATTTTGTTCAACCCACTCCCTTCTCAACAGCAGTCTAAAAACAATCACATCGCTGCCACATTCTGTACATCTTTTCATGCACTGAAGCTCCTGTGACTCACTCAAGGTATTCAAAGTATAGCAAAATATGATTTTCCTTTATGGACAGGTGTTTTAAGCTCAGGCAAATCATTATTCAGTACCTCTGCAGGAGTGCATCTCCTTCCTGTGTGACATATGCAGTAGCAAATATTTTCCAAGCCATACCATTGATGAGAGTGCTGCAGCTCTTGTGATGAGTTGCTCTTTATGTTAATTAAGTCTGTGTGTTCTGAATTTCATGTTTTTATTTTAGGACTCCTCAATGTAATAAAGCACTTTTAGTCAAGGTAGATGATGTAAGTGGATGGGGAGGATGAAACCATCTTAACGTAATGTTCATTCTATTGAAGATTTGGCTTGTAGGCATTTGGACAACTTTTAGCCTATTAGCTGCAATACTTACAAACAATGAAGGACAAGGTATGAATAAAACTAATGTACTGTAATAACAGATACATTTGAATGTACACAACCAACAACCAGGGCAAGAAAAACAATGTATAAAGACTAAAGAAAGAATGTGAGTTGAATAAATCACATTCTCTTATGTCCCAGTGCAAGCCATAGTTGCTGCTGTCCATGAACTCCCTCCTGTTTTGACTGTAACCACAGAGCACTCATCTGTTAAAGCTTGACTCATCTGCAATAAAAACATGCTTTGTGAAAATGCAATGAAATGTAGGTGTCAGCAGAGGATCAGTGGAGATGTTATCAAGTGAAAAGATCTGAAACAAAAATTAACTTTACCGAGCTCATTTAAAATAATAGTGCATACTGCTATCAGCTTGACTGTTATAGGGTATTTACATTTTATATAAGATTTTCATATGTTATACAACAGGGAGGTTGACAGCCTGGTGATGCAGAAGTCCCATGTGCTACTTACATCAAGTGGTTTCTGCACATTCAGGCTGTGGTGTGGCCGACAGATTAAGACATATGCACATTTCAGTTTATCTTCAGTATCACCCCAATAAATTGAACAGCTAGCATGAAGTGAACTTACATGTTATGTGTTAGGTCACTCATAAAACCAGAGCCTCATGTTGCTAATGCTAGTGTATTTAATCTGTGCAATAAGCAGTTATTTGCTGCATCAAAGTGCCACATGTGAATTACATATTGGAGCACTGAATGTTTGTCTAGAATACCTATGTGGAAAGTTGCTCAGTAAGTATAGTAAGAAGAAAATTCAAGCATAAATTTCAGGGTGTTACAGTACTGAATAGAAAAGTCTGTTCATATAATTAAAGAAACTGACAGTCAGGGTTGTTGTTGAACAGAAAATAACCAAATCACTGTTCACTGAACAGAAATTGGATGAAATTGATGATAAGCTTGAACACTCCCCTCAAAAATCCCTTTGACACTTTGTGCAAGAGACTAGTTTAAAATTTCAAGTTTGTTCTGTTTCCAGAAAGGAACAAAATATGTGAATGTTTTTAACAGAGTTTCAAGGAATGCATGCATAACAACAGGGACAATTTCTGGCATCTGCTCTGATTTTGGTGGGTTTTGTTTCTGATTTCTTGGCCTGTGGGCTTGTTGATTATGTTGTGGATCTAAACACATGCAGAAAATGTTGGCAGGCAGGAAGTTTTTTGCTCTTTGCTAGAATGGTTGAATGATAATATTCTGCAAACCTGTTTCAGGTTTGCTTGCATGAGGCAGAGTTCCAAGTTCTATGACAACATATAATGGTCACAGTTACAGAGATTTCACATGTTAAATTGCAGAGTGCTGCTCCTAAGAATGGTGAGCAAACTTCCTCAAGAATTTCATACATTTCTGAAAAATTGTTATCATCTGCGACGAATACTGCGAGAGACACAGAAATCTCTGGAAGAAATTACTACAGCATGTATCTTTCCAGGTGGTAAGTAGATATTTTAATGATGTGCTTGTAATTGCTTTCACATGTACAATAAATCTCTAATTTGCATGGTTAATTCATTCCAAAGGTTTCTGTCTTAGTTCAAAACTGAATTAAGTCCAGAAATGCTTAAATATGATTTTTTTATACATATGGTCATTTCAGTGTATAGTTAAAGCTAAAAAAGGATGTACAATAAAAATATAACACACCATATTACACTGTATTATAATATATAAACCCTATATATCTTTTACTGTTGACCGTTGAAATCAAAGTTCTGAAACTGCAACTTGAATCTGTGTAAGTCAGGGACATACTGTATTCTAGTTTTTAATATGGTGCTCTTAGTGTGAGATGCATCCATGTATGTATGTGAATGCTCACTGTCTTGAGATAATGTTTGCAGTTGCTAGACTTTTCTCTGAAATTGTTATTGAAAATATAGTTCTAGTTTTGAAATTTTTGACTGTTTATAATGAGTATGAAAGACAAAAATAGTTTGTCCCCCCCAAATAGTAAGGTTACCTTCGATAGAAGTCTGTGTCGCCTACTTAAGACAGGTGTCAAGTAAACGTAAGTGTCAGAGAGTTCAGATATCTCCAGACTTCCATTTGCTAGATGGGGCATACCACCATGTCAGCTTTCAAATTAAATCAGAACATTTGATTGGCTCCACTGACAATGTTGTTTGTGGGTTATTTTATGTTTCTGTCCATATCTAGAATATGTAATGTTGAATGGCAAGATATTTGAAGAATTGGAAATGATTTGGAAAGAAGTACATTCAAGACCTGATTGAGGTAATATTTTGGCATTTTCATGGTGGAACTGAAGGAAAGCAAGATAAATCTCAGTCAGGGTGGCCAGTGTTCTAGATGAGTTTGAATCTCTTACCTCCCAGATACAAGTCTGGAGTGTTACTGATACTTTACCTGCTCAGTGTTGATGCTGAGTCAGGAACTTGTGGATATAAGTTGAAATAGTCAGGTATGGTTTCATGTATCAGCTGGTGTGTCTGAAACGAATGCAATTGCAGTATCGTCAGATGGTGATATAAACTGTTACCACATCATCATCAGAAAGTTACTAAATTATACTCTCAACCCAGGCAGAACCAAAATTGCTATGCCATAGATGCTGTTGAACACAGGACTTTCTTCTGTAAGAAAGTATGGTGTATTCTCAGACGTTTTGTACAGGGAAGTTAAAGACACCATCATAATGGAGGAAAAGCATAAACAGAAAAATTTTGTATCCTGTAAGGGAATTATCTGGTGATGAAAATTACGTGTTCTTTTTCGTTATAGAAGACCTGAAAGCTCAAGTGTTGACTCCAACTGTTCTTCAGAGGCTTGGTTCCATTCTGGAATGTCATCCAGCACTTGTTGTACTTGGACAGAACTGCCAAGCTAAAGCTGATCTGGTTAATACTCTGCTTGGGGAAGCCATTCTTCCACCTGGTGGAAGCTCATGGAGATGGGTTCGGTTTCTATATGGCCTCTCCAGTCACGTTGCTGTAACACTGAGCTCAGATTTTGAAGTTGTAGAAGATCTCCATTCACATGATAAAGCATGGACAGTTGTATCTGAGGAAGATTTAAAGAGATCAGAAGCTGAAGAGAAGGTAAATGGCTGTCATATTTGAGTGAAAGGGTAGTCATGTTTCGTTTTTAATGAAACAGGCTTTGAATAATTCATTCTCCATGTCAGTATAACTTTGTAATTGTATAGGATTTGAGGTTCTCACAGTGGTGGATATGAGGATATAATACTATGTAGTTAGTTGAAAACTATCCACAGTTTCAGAGGAACGTAGTGCCTCCATTTTCAGGGTTGAATAAGCTGAGCAAGATAGCAGCATAAAAGCAGATGACAAGCCGAGTAATTGGCTGGCCAGAAGTTTCAGCTTATATAGGAAACAGGAGGGAAATGGAAAAGTGGATCTCAGTTCCCATTGGCTTGCCTTAGGATAGAATGATACCTCTGGACTTTCACCTGACCATATGAAACAATAGGAGACGAGCAGGAGTTCAGAATGGCCCAAAAAAGTGGTAGCTTTGCTGGTCTAGGAAGAAGTGTAAGGGTGTGTTGGACAGGAAACTGACATGTAAGGGAGAGAGGTCAAGTGAGTGAGTTGCAGGCAGGGCAGAGCAGGGAGCAGAGGTAGCAGAAGGTAGCTGGTAATCAGGGTGGAAGCTGGTGAGTGCCTTGAGAGGGCAAATTTTGTGCCCTGGTAAGAACTAACTTGTAAGGGGGAGAGGTCAAGTGAGTGAGTCATGGAGATGGAAAGAGATGGCCACCTTCCCTCCATTGACATAGATATTGGCTTTCTGGGCCATAAAGTGTATCATAAACCTACCCATACCACACCCTTCCTAAACTCTAGCTATTATCACCACCCATCCAGTGAGCTTGTCATGCTTTCAGCACTGGTCTACAGTGCTGGAGCTCTGTGTGATCAAGACAGCCTTCATGCAGAGTTGGTGTTTCTGGGAGACATTTTCAGGTAGAACAGCTATGCCTATTGACAGATTTGCAGGGTTCTCAGCTCTCCCCTGAGGACTGCCTAACCTTATGAAAAGCCAGATTCAGTCACTTTCCTGACTTATGGTGGGTCGATATTCAACCACATCAGCAGGTTGCTGTCTCGGCACAGCATCAAGTCTGTGGACTTCCATCCCAGGAAAATATCTAGCTTCCTTCAGTTGGTCAAGGACGACCTGGGACTGAAGACACCGAGAGTATACAATATCCCCTGTGAGTGCGGTCAGGTCTACGTTGGGCAGATGGGCTGTTTGATTGACACCAGGTTTTAGGAGCGCCAGTGATATATCCATCTAGAACATCTAGACAAGTCAGCTGGGGCAGAGCACAGTATCAACTTGGGTCACCGTATTCAGCCACACCACACCACACCACCATCCACCATCCTCTCCACCAAACGCAGATACAGTTATCACATCGCCAGGGAGGTGAATTACATTGAATTCCATCCCAACAATATGAGCAGAGAGAATGGCTTCTGTCTGAGCAAGTCATGGAAACCTCTCATCTTCTCCTTGAAAGATCATACGGAGCCTTGGTCACATGATGGCAGACCTGGGTTCTCTTCGTGGCCATGCAGGTCTATGCACACTCCCCTTATCAGGGCGCAAAATATGCCCTCTGAGGGCACTCATTAGGCTCCACCCAGATTATCAGCTTCCTTCCACTACCTCTGTTCCTTCATCTCCCACCACATGCCTGCAACTCACTTGATCTCTGTCCCTGACATGTCAGTTCCATGCCCAACACACCCTTACACTTTTCCTTATCTTTCCTAGACCAGCAAAGCTGCCCCTTTTTGGGGCCATCCTGAACTCTTGTTCTTGTCTCCTATTGCTCACTCGGTGGTCAGGTGAGAGCCTAATGGTTTCATTTTAATGTATGGTGATCCACTCTTACATTTTCATTCTGTTTCCTATATAAGCTGAAACTTCTGGCCAGCCAGTTACTTGGCTTGGTACCTGTTTTAATGCTGGTATCTTGCTCAGCTTATTTGACCCTGAAGATGGAGGCGATGTGTTCCACTGAAACATCAGTTGATTCTCAACAGACTACATGGCGTTATCTCCAAGCATTATCTTCAGCTTTGTAATTTTTCACTGAAATTGTGTCACTCATGTATACCTTCCAGTGGTCTTGATTAAATGTTTGATTCAGATACATTTCTCTCATGTTCATGACATAAATTTTTTACAATTGTTTGTTAAACATTGCAATAGGAGTGGATGTCATTTGTCTGCATGTTCTTAATACATTCATTTTTTGTTGTTTCCTGTTGAATTAGTTTATTAGTGGCAATAATGTCATGCATATATTGTAAAAGAATTTGTCCTTCAGCATCACTTCAGTGTTTGCTCATGTTCTGCTGTCGCTATCATTTAGCCCCTGAGAATCAGAGGTTTTAAATCTCCCAAGTACTAATAACTTGGCTTTGGATTTTCATGAGGGGGAGGGGGGAACAATTCAAGGTCTGCAAATAGGGTATTTCAAATCCCATGACACAAAGAACTTAATGGCCAGATTTTTAACTCTAGGGTATCTAACAAACTTCCTTCATGGAACTGAGACCATCTTGTGAATCCACCAGCTGTGAAGCTACTCAGGAAATTCCCAAAATTTTATGGAAATGAAAGGTTCATTACCATGTTCACACAAGCCCTCCACTGGTCCTTATTCTGGGCCAGCTCAATCCAGTCCATACCACCCCATCCCATTTCTGTAAGATTTGTTTTAATATTATCCACCTGCCTACATCTTGGTCTTCCCAGTGGTCTCTTTCCTTCTGGCTTTCCCTTGGCTTGACTTGATCATTCTAATTATACTTCAAGAAGAGTACAAGTTATTTTTTCTCCAGTATTTGATGAGTGCAAAAAATCTGATCAATAGTTGATCTGTTATGTTGAAACCCATGCTGATGATCCCCAATAATTTTGTCACTGTATGAACTTAACCTTGAGAGAAGGATGTTGGATAAAATATTGTATGAAGCTCATAGCATTGATATCCCACAATAATTACTACAGTCAGTTTTATCACCCTTGTGAACTGATATAATAATGAACATCTTCCACTTATCAAGCAAGTCTTCCTTATTCTAAATAAAATTAATGAGCATATGGTTCTCACACCTTAATATTTCACCTCGTGCTTGCATCAGTTCTGCTGGAATTTGATCACAACCTGGTGATTTATACCTTTTAAAATTTCAGTAGCAATTTCAACCTCAGTAGGACAAGCATCAGGCAGTAAACGGCTCAGCTGTGTGTATTTCTATCTGCCTAACATCACTGACCCTATATACATTCAATAACTGAGAGAGTAGTTCTTCCACATATTCAGAATGTGGGAATCTGCAAGCAGATCACCGTTCTCATCCTTCACTAAGTTACTTCTGGGTTGATAACCCCTCTTAAATTCATTTATTCCCCTACGGAGGTCTGTAATGTTCTTGCTCTTACTGTTCATTGCAAGCTTATCAGTTTTGTCTTTCAGATATTCCCTCATTTTATTCCTGAAACACCTGCTGGCTTCACATCTTATGTTCAAATTATTGCTATTTATTTTGCTTCGATCCTGTAACCACTGCAGTTTGACTTGTTTTCTTTGATTTAATAATTTTGAGCATCCTTTGTCAAACCATTGCTTATGCTTCTTCAATTCATAATAACCTAGACTCTCTTAGATTGAAAATTTGGTATTCTTTGGATTGAGTTGCACAAGAATGAATAATAATCAGAACAGTATTCAAGTTCTTTCTAATAGTTTCCCAAGCTCTATTAATATTCACCTCAGCATCTAATTTTACCAAAGCTGCTACCCTATTTATGATTTCAACACAATACTGCTCTTTACATTCTACCTTGTTTAATTTCTTGAAATTGAACATCCCTGTATGAAATCTGAACTCTGGGATGTTTAGATTACTGAAGACGCCGTTCGGATTGTTAATTGGTTTATTTAACATGTAACGGCGCAAAGGTCAAGTACTTGGAGATATAATTTTTTGGGGTAAAATTGGAATAATAGTAGCTAGACTGTAAGATTAAGAAATAGCCATGATGAAACGAACCAGGAAGCTTAGGTCTACAAAGAATTGTAACAGGGAATGCCTGAGTCATTAGAATGCTAACCCGGCAGTGTAATAGCGCTGACATTGAGGAAGGAGCTATATGAAGTGGGTCATAAACACTATGGCAGGAGGAAAACGCTGAGTCAGAGGAGGCGGTAGACCCGAAAGAGTCAACCCCTTCTCGATGGGCAGCCAATGAGGGAGGCCAAAATCACGTCAGAATGGGCAGGCAACCTACCCGGAACTCAAAGAATCAGCAAAGAGAGGTTATATAAACCCTAGAAGACTTAATCAAAAAACCTTTTGCCTTTAGACTTTTGATTAATATTACGTAACTTAGAGTTCAGGGGAGGCTATCGCCGAGAGAGCGATGGCCGTGAGTGTGCGCTGGTTGGTGATGGCGAGCATCTGTTTCCTCATCTCAAGTAAGTGAAACCAACTTCATATAGCCATGAACCTTAAGTGTGATAGTGATAAATGTTAAGTGTAAACCACAGGGAAAGATAGGCTAACTAGATTGACTAGGTTCATTCGAGATACCGAGGCGTAGAATACCCGCCAGTAGGGTGACAGGAGGTAGAACCAATGATGACTGCAGGTTCATTATCCAGTGTAGTACAACCGACGAACGTCGGTAAGAGTGCATATAGATGTATATAGTGACATAGAGAAATAGAATAGGATAGACATGCGTGTGAGTTTACTTTAACCTAGCAATTCCTTAAGTGTTACCCTCTTCCTTGACGACTCCAGGACCTCCCAACGCTCCGGCGAATTACGAGTTAAGCCAGGACAGTGACGCTAGCTATGATAAGTTTACTAGATTTCTTGAAAATAACAAGACGGTGGCAGCATACTAAACAGGGTGACAGAGTGGGATATTTCCACGCCCTCTGTCACCACGGCATAAGAGAGGTGTAGCGGCGGCTTAAGAGAGGTACAGTGGCGGAAGCGGTGGAGGTACCTCCACGCCCCCTTCACGCCATAACAATGGTGGCAGCGGTGGGATACCTCCACGCCCCCATGCACCCACGACATAACATAACAACCTACAAGTATCGGCTACAATTATTTATAACATAGTTGTGGGTTTTCACACTTTATAACCCTATTCACAATAATCTGCTTACACTGTTGTGGGGTTTCACACTTTATAACCCTATTCGCAATAATCTGTTCACACTGTTCTCAGTAGTGTACACGTTTTTATGGTACGGGAGCTCTACAAGTCTCTCTGTATTACACACTCTCAATTACACAATTACACACATGTCCGGTTCTTCTTTCAGCCACTGCTGTTAGATTCAAACTCAACTTGTAGGCTGCTGGCTTGAGATCTAACTTTGGCAGCGGCTATGTTTTAACTCAACTTGTAGGCAGCTGCCTTGAGAACTCGTTCACTGCTGACTAACTTTAGTTGTCTCCGACGACGGCTACATTTCAACTAACTCATGCTTACTGCTCAGCCAGCTTTTATTCCGTTCGCTGTTACCTGTTGCCCGTGTCAACAGCGGCGTTGTGTGCCTCGTCACAGTAGGAAGTGGTGCCATGTGTTACGTCACCGCGGGGAGAGGCGGGGTGTTGACTGGCTTTTCTTAGCTTTCTGGCCTCTTACTCACTTTGCCTAGCAACCAGCGTGCCTAGACTCGGCTCACTTCGGCTCCGCTTGGCATGTCACGGCTGGCGGGGAGGGAGGGGCGTCATCCATAGCGCAACACGTCACAATATTAATATTAAAAAAATGCACAGCTTGCCCATCTGGATCAGGTGCATGATCAGTTTCAGTAATGCAGTGCATGACTGGTAGAAGTTAATGTATAAAAATCTTAACTGTTTTACACATCAGTTATTCATGAACATCAGTGTCTCCTGGGATGACAGTAGTATGTCAGATCTTCTAACCTGAAGTTGGAGGTAGTACATTCCTCCAAAACATCTGTACTGATTTACCAGACTTCATGTTGTGACATCCTGGAAGACACTAATCTTTATACTCATATGAACCTCAAATCTCACTATGTATTTCTTGTTTCAGGACATGGCAGATTATTCTACAATAGTCGATATTGAAATCTGCCATCCTCTCTTTAAAGACAATGTTCAGCTTCTTGTACCTCCAGATTTTGATGGACTTCACTCAGGAGCGTTCAGAGAAGTTCTTTCCAAAGGATTGGAAAAAGTGTTACCTGTCTTCCTATACGCAGTAGGAGAGGAATCTCTGACTGACCAGGTTGGTTAATAGCATAAAATTATTTTTTAATTTAATACTGTTAATTTAATTTACTGTTTTTCAAGGAAAAGTTATTCATAATTTGTGCTTTCTAAGTGTGTAGAATATGATCTATGTACACTTACACTCAGAATACCTAATTGTAGAAGTTTGGTGTACTGTGGGTGTTTTGTTACCAAGATGTTCTTTAATAAAGTATATAATTCTCTAAATTAAATTATTCATATTGGTATTAATAATTATGAAGAATTAAAATGTGAGTGCTTGAGTCAAAACATGAATGGCCTCCATTTTCAGAAGGTCATCATTCCAAGTTTCATATAAACTTGTCCATTGGTTCAGAAATTATTAGAGGCACAGATACAAGCTCACATGGCATAATGTTACCCTGAGCCTAACTTCCTTATTAACATGAAGATCAATGCTAATGAGGCAGTTCTAGGGAGAGCTTCTAAGCCTGCTTTCCTTCAAATGCTTCCATTTGTATATGGAGGTTAACAGAAATTACAAACTAAGAATTATGTAAGATATAAAAGTTTGTGATTGTATATTGATACAGTTATTGAATTTTTGGACCTTATAAATTGTCCTGTTTTTAGTACCATTTCAGAGGCTGGACTCTCCATCCTCAGGTATGAAAGCCTCTTGTGGCATAATATGCTTATCAGGTTTCTCAAAAATTGATCAGTTTGTCAGAATTTGTTTTGAAGAAAGACGTGCACACAGGTGGACAAGCCAAGGCATTATGACACCACAGTTCTGTCCTTCCTTAAAATGGCAAATGGTTGTGAGTGCCGAGAGATGAAGCAGCTTGTACTGTAGATGATATACTGAAGAACTTCTGGAAGTTACCATGCACGAAGCTCTTAAAAATTGTGGAAAATAAGCAGAACAGGATTCTGCATTTATTGGAATGTACCTATTGGAACTTGACATATTTCTTGCAAGATAATCTTATTCATACTAAATTTAAATCTTTCAGAAACAGGCCTAGGAATGAACCAAGAAAGGCTTTCATACAACATAGAAATTTAGTATTTCAGGCAGGATTCCATTTACTGATAATGGAAGGACCATTAGGAATATAAAACAGTATAATTTAAAAATAATGACTGACTTGTATTCATGTGTGTTGTATTCAACACTTCCTTACCAAGTGCATATATACATTGAAACTTCTATACTGACACGTTTAGGGTTGAATTGGATGACTGGATTTATTGCGCCTGTCTAAATAATGTGGGACCCTCAACGTCTCATAACCCTATGGGCCTTCATGGCCTGTTACAGAGATAGCTTTTACTTTTATACATTCACACAGTTTGGGACTACAGGCAATACAACACTATTGTTGTTCTACACGCTTAACAGTTCACCATTCCACACACACTAGGATCCTCAGTCTTCACTAGCAATATCCTGACAACGGATTTATCACAGTCTCACTGTAACTTTAAATCACACATGGGGTCTTATTTATGGCGCATAATTCCTTTCTTGCCATTATTCTGCAACTGTCAATTTTGAAGACTCAACTCCATTCAGTTCCAAGCTCATATCTTGGCAGGCTGGCATCTTAAAGCTTGATCCTTCACTTCCACCTCGACTACTCTGCTTCTACTCTTAAAGTGACGTTCTTTGGCCCTTTGTAACCCCTAGGCACAGACCCCATGGAAAACAGCCTGTGTTAGTAAGGAGGCATGTTTACTGGTCTGTTATCTAGCAATGGATGTCCTGTTGTCACGTGTGTACGTGTTGTGTTTAGCAGTGGCTATACATGAAAATATTTTCAAGAAATTGTACTAAATGAGATTCCAGTGAACCAAAAAGTGTGAAGTATTTGTTATACTTTAGTCTTTATTATTTATTAGATATAATTTGTTCAGCTGAAGGAGTCTATTATTGTACAATTTACAAGCAGGGCAATAAAAGTGACTGTAGTAATTATCATGGGATATCAATGTTATCAACTTCAAAGAAAATTTTAACCAATATCCCTCTCTAATATATATCCATATATATAGGTGAAATTATCGGGGATCATTAATGTGCGTTTTCACATAACAAATCAGCTACTGACCAGATTTTTTCCATTCATCAGATACTGGAGAAAAAATGGGAGCACAATGAAACAGTATATCAGCTGTGTTTCAGTTAGGAAGGAAGTATTGTACAATGTTCAAATACACTTTAGGGTACCCATGAAACTAATTAGGTTGATTAAAATGTGTTTAAACGAATTGTATAGTAAAATCCATATAGATAAAAATTTGTCTGATAATTTTCCTATACAGAATGATCTAAAAACAAGGAGATGCTTTAGTGCCATTACTTTTCAACTTTGCTTTTGAATATGCCATTAGGATGTTCCAGAAAAACCAGGTGGGACTGAAATTAAAAGGGGCACATCAGCTGCTGGTCTATGCTGATGATGTGAATCTACTGGGCGATAACATAGATACTATAAAGAAAAACACAGAAATTTTAATCGATGCTAGTGAGGAGGTTGGTCTCGATAAAACTAATTATATGTTGCTGTCTCATCACCAAAATGCACGGCAATGTCATAACATAAAGATAGCTAAACGACTCCTTTGAAAGTGTGGCACAGCTCAGATATTTGGGATTCGCAGTAACAAATCAAAATTTGATTCCGGAGGAAATTAAGAGGAGATTGAATTTGGGTACTGCTTGCTACCATCCAATCCAGAACCTTCTGTCTTCTCATCTGCTGTCTAAAAAACAAAAATTAGAATATGCAAAACTATAATTATTGCATATGGTTCTGTATGGATGTCAGACTTGGTCTGTGATGTTAAGGGAGTAACATAGACTGAGGGTGTTTGAGAACAGGGTACTGAGGAGAATATTTGAACCAAAGACAGATGAAGTGACGGGAGGTTGGAGAACACTTCATAATGAGGACCTTCATAACTTGCGTTCTTCGTCAAGTATAATTAGAATGATCTGGTTAAGGAGGATGATATGGGCAGTGCATGTAGCATGAATGGGAGAGAAGATGAATACATATAGGATATTGGAGGAAAAGCTAGAAGGAAAGAGCTCACTAGGAAGACCAAGACATAGTCAGTGGATAATGGGTCTTAGAGAGATAGAATGGGGTGATATGGACTGCATTGATCTGACTCAGGCTGGGGACTAGTGGAAGGCTCTTGTAAACACGGTAACGAACCTTTGCGTTCCAGAAAATGTTTGGAATTTCTTAAGTAGCCGCACAACTGGTGGCTCCTCAAGAAGGGCTGAGCTCCATGAAGTTACTTTAGTTAATCTTTTCAGCTAAATCTAATCTAGTTTATTTTTAGATTTAAATTTATTTCGTTGTGAAATCAATTTTTCTTGTTTCTCACATTTCTGTCATCAGTATTATTTCATTAAATTTGTGTTCCTGTTTTCTTGCCTTTTAGCACATTCATGAGCTGCGAGAGCTAAAGCAGCTTTTTCCTGAACTGCCAGTACTCTTCATTTGTACATCAGCATCTCCACAGGAGCTGACTGAATCAGAGCAACACCAACTGCAGGAGAGCTGCTTGTTCCTACAAGAGGAATCCTGTTACACGCCACAGTGTTTGCACTGTGGTGACGTTGACAGATCTTTACTGGGACTAATTCAGCAACTTGACAGGATAGGTAAGAATATGGATTTTGAAGTAAAGCCTGTCTTTCTGTGATATTTCTTCTGCTTTCAAAGTACTCTGCTTAGGAGTTATTGCACTGATCCCAGTGATTTTTCCATCATTGGAATTGTTTTGAAATCTGTATTTTATGATAACATTGAGTTTCTGCTCTAGTTTTGCTGAATATCTTCCCTTTTAGCTACACTTTCATTTTTGAAAGAATTTTCAGGGAGCAATATCCTGAGAGTAAGGGAAAATTGAGACTGTAGCCATTTGTTTCTTGTCGAGGAACTGTTAGACAGATAGGGTGGGTGCATTTTCATGATAAACCAGTGTTTCTTAGTGGATTTTCATGATAAACCAGTGTTTCTTAGGTTACTTTCCTATAAGCACCATAGCATATCTGTATAATATTGCTGATTAACAGTTTTTACCATAGGAACAAATTTGTGATGTACAACCCCATCACAGTTTAAAAGCGATTAACATGATCTTGACATTAACCAAAGTTGTTTTGCCCTTCTCTGGATTTGGTGACTGTAGAAATTCCCATTGTGATGATGGTTGTTTTGTTTTTGGATTATATCCTATAGACAACAGATTTTTATCACTACTAAATGACAGTTGATATTAGATCTTAAACTGAAGTGCTGAGTATTACAGCTCATAAAGAACAGAATTTGTTTCCTTTCAGTCTTCAGTAGATGAGGAACAGATTTGTCAGAGAGCCTTCACATGTTCAGATCCTGTAGTAAGACACCTTGGCAGCTTCTATTGAGAAAACTAACTTCTTGCATAAATTGTAAATAGTGAGATTCTTATTGTGATGAATTCATTCTCAAATACTTTTAACATTCTCATCCCTTCTGCTTGTGGATGGTAATCCACAGTGTTCTACATATTCCACAGAAGTGTATCAGGTTTTAAGTCTTGAAACCCATCTGTATATTTGTGTTTTGATTAAGCAATAAGGCTGTTCATAATGTTGTATATATCAAAAAATGTTTTACCTGTCTTGAAATGAAAATTAATTAAAACCATGTGTTTCCTCAAATAGTTCGTTTCAAACTGTCATATAACGTACACTGTTCACTAAACAGCTTCGCTTATGTGATTGACAGCATAGAATGGTGTATGGAAAGCATACTATTCACAGAAGTATACTCTATCACCACCTAGCTGGGAAAATTCATATTTACAGAAGCATTCTGAGACTGTGAGCTTTGTCTTTTAAATACAAATGTTTACTCTTTGAAACCTTGAACATACATATAGCATTAATATTTCTTTGTTGCATTACATGCTACAGTTACATGAAATGAACTACTGACATGTTGACTTCAAAAAGGAGTGTAAGTATTGTCATGTGTAGGATGGTACACATGACGGGTTCTAGTTCACATGATTGGATTATTAGCACTGCGGTTAAACACACTCTCTTATCACATTTGAATTACAGCGCCTTCATAATTCACTGTTTCACGCACCCTACGACTCCCAGTCTTCACAGATCTCAATGCAGAAACTATAGCAGTCTCGCTGGATATCACATTCCCAGTATTACACATAAACACAGTCTTCAAATCACACTTTAAGTCTTCAAAGGTCTTGTACTAACTTCCCGTGGCTGTCTCATATCGAGAACTCTCTCACTGTCACTTAAACACACTCAAATACTCTCAAAATCTGAATTCTGTTCTGTCTCTAACAATCGTTATATAGCCTCCACACTGACCACACAGAAAACAGCCTATATTGTTGTAGAGAAGTGTTTACTGCAACGTTGCTTAGCAGTGAGCATGGCACGGCATGGCACACCACAGCACGGCATGGAGAAAACACCACTTTCCTTACTGTTGCTCAATTGCCGTGGCTACAGACCTCCACGGCTCAACCGTTTTCACATGGCGTAAATACGCCACAATGTTATTCTCTGTGACATTACTTCAGACCTGAGCCCCCCTCCCAGCCCATGTTTCAAGTTGCTGTTTTGCATTCCTTCTCATAGTTGCAGGTAACACTTATTACTCACATTGCTTTTTCAAAATAAAAAAAAAAAGTAAAGCTATACCTGTAACAGGCCGTGAAGGCCCATAGGGTTGTGAGATGTTGAGGGTCCGACATTATCTAGACCAGCAATGGCCAACTGGCGGCCCGCGACTTGATTTACTCCGGCCCCCCGCCAAGTCTCAGGTTTATTTTCAAAAATCTTAACTTCACAGCTGTATTGGCATAGAATTCAGTTTTTAATAGGATGTTTCATTAGCTTACAGCATTTTGCAGTTGAGTGTATACGTTCTTACCGAGTTGGACAGTTCAAACTGTTTTCTAATAACTGTGTTCATGTCATGGAAATTCCAAGTCCCCCAACCCTACTTCTGTAGGGAGATGACACTGAAGGGAAGACCGTAGTGGTGATGGCTTTATGACACCTTCAAATTAGTAACCATTCCCAGCTTGCTCGCGGGGATGGGATGTTTACCGTTTGTCTCGGCATCTTGGCCTTTGTTAAGTGCCAGTTTTAGCAGAAATGTCTCCCAGTTAGTGCAATTTTAGAAAGTGAAGTGTGATTACGGAGTGTTAGTGTAGAACTGTTTTTCAATTAAAATTGTGTTTGAAGTTATTGTAAGTGATACAGCATGTCAAATAGTAAATTGAGAAAAGTTGATAGTGAAAATAGGGCGTTCAAATCTGAGTGGGAACATGACTTTTTTTATATTAAATAAAGACCACAAGCCACAGTGTTTAGTATGTTTTCAAGTGCTAGCAGTTTTAAAGGAGTACAACCTAAAGAGGCATTACATGACAAATCATAAACAGAAGTTCGGAAAACACTCTTGTGAATCAAGGAAAGTAGTCTGCGATCAGTTAAAGAAAAAACTTTTCCAGCAGAAATCTCTTTTTACCAATGAAACAAAACAACAAGAAGAAGCTTTGCTGGCTTCTTATTTCGTGACATATGAATTAATGAAAGCTAAAAAAGCGTTAAGTGATGGTGAATTAATTAAGAACTGTGCGATAAAGATGGCAGAAGCTTTCAATGAAAATAAGGTAGGAAACAAATTTCAAACAGTGCCCCTTTCAAAACAGACTGTTACTAGGAGGCTGGAAGATATTAGCAACCAGATATCTAATAATGTGAAAGACATTATCGCTAATTGTTCCTATTTCTCAATTGCTCTCGACGAAAGCACAGATGTTTCGGATACTAATCAGTTGCTGATATTTGTTCGTGCAATTAAGGAAGATTTTACAATTTTCGAAGAGTTGTTAAAAGTGTGCTCTTTACACAGCACAACTAGAGGTGTCGATATTTTTAACGCTGTTAAGAGTGCAGTGGAGGAATTCGGTGGTTTTGAAAAATTGTCCTCCATAGTAACAGATGGCGCTAAATCAATGACAGGGACAATAAGCGGTTTTGTTGGATTTTTAAGACAGAATCAAATTACTGTACCTACCTTGCATTGTATTATACATCAGGAGGCTCTATGTGCCAAATCAATTAAACTGTCTACCACCATGGCTACTGTCACAAAAATTACTAATTTGATCAGAGGAGGAAATCGATCACTCACTCACAGAAAATTTCTGACCCTCTTGGAAGAAATGGATTCTGCTTACGGGGACCTGCTTCTGCACACTGAAGTAAGATGGTTAAGCCGTGGGAAATGTCTGGTACGGTTCTTTGAACTCCGTCATGAAATAGCAACATTCCTAAGAGAAGAGGTTACGAATTCTGCTGAACTGCAGAATGATCTCGAAGACGTCGAATTCTTGAGAAACTTGGCCTTTCTCACTGATATCACTCAACACTTGAATGTCCTGAATCTGCAATTGCAAGGCAAGAAGCAGACAATATGTCAGATGGTTGGCTTTGTTGACAGTTTCCGTAAAAAGCTACATTTATTTAAGTCTGCATTGGACAAAAATAACCTTCTACATTTCCCTTGCTGTCGGAAACTCTCAGAAGAAGAAGAAGGCTTGGAGTTTAGGGACTACACTGAAATTATTGAAGATTTGTCTTCAGAGTTCGACCGACGATTTAACGATTTTGAAAGCTTTCAACCTGATATTTCTTTGTTCAGTAATCCTGTACATTGTGATATAGAATCTCAGCCAGGTCATCTGCAATTAGAGCTTTGTGAACTTCAGTGTGACCCATCCTTAAACACATCTCAGGTTACTGGAATTGACTTTTGGAAACTGCTTTCACCAGAACATTACCCACTGTTACGAAATTGGGCTCTCAAATTTTGCTCTGTTTTTGCAAGTACTTACATATGCGAAACAGCATTTTCATCACTGAAGCATGTAAAGTCTAAGAACAGGAACAGACTTTCAGATGTCATGTTATCACATATTCTTCGAGTGGCAACCTCACAATTAGAAGTGGATTTTATATCATTGGTTTCCAGTTTTATTAAACCACAGTGCTCTCATTTAAACAGTGTGTATATGAGGATTTAGGTATAATCATTAGACCATAAAAACTATGATTGAAAGTCTTTTGTGCTCATCCCTGCTGAAAGAGGAATTTGTGCTGTTTTATGGTAAGTAATTACAAATTTCAAGGCATTTTATTTTTCTTTCTTAAATTATAATTGCATTTTTCCCCGGCATATATAAGGCATGATCTGGCCAGTGTTTCTTTAAGAAAAAATGCTCTGGGGGTAGAAGTGATAGAAGGCAATAAAATTGATTGGTGAAATTTTCAATATTGGCTTAATATTATTGGTGCAACGTAAAAGTTAAATACATAGGTTTAAATGCACTTGTTTTTACACAGGTTGTGACTGATTCAGTTTGGGGGGCAATACTCCCCGACCACTCTTCTGAAAGAAACACTGTATCTGGCCCCTGATGGTGTTCTATAAACTAAATTTAGCCCTCGAGATGTATTAGGTTGGCCAACACTGATCTAGACAATCAACTCAAAATGGTGGTAAGGTTGTCAGCCTTATGCACCACCTGCACTTTACACCTGCTAGAGGCTGAGTCAACCCCAGGCCCATAGTGCAGCTGGAATAGTAGAAATATGAAAGTATGTGCATGGCTTAGAATGCTTTCCTTGTTTTCACACTACAAACTTCACTATGGCAAATTAAATTCTGACTACTGGTGTATTTATGTTGGTGAAGACTAAAGGCAACAGAAGAATAATCCTCAAATATGATTTATCTCGGTATTTTCAAAGCCAATTTTTTTTGGGAAAAGTATTAGCAACATTTAAATAAGGATAGAAGCAGCATGGCATCAGTCTGACTACTTTGTACTGTGCAGTGAATGGTTTTTACTTGAATTTTTGCCCTTGGAAGCACTATCGCAATTGAATTCTTCAATAATGGGATGCTGTAAGCCTAGTATCTAAGCTTAGAAGATTCATTTGTTTAAAATGCTGAGTGTTTAATTAATACATTTCTGAGATCTATCAGTGTGTGTTATAGTCATATTTTATTGTGCTGAATGAAAATATCTTAAATCTTTATACTTTAATTTGAAACACTATTTTGGTGTTAATGTGATGAAATCTAAAAAATCCCAGTTTTAATCAACTGAACACAAGTTTACATGACCTGTTTAATTTAGGATACCTGCACCTAGAAGAAACGGTGTCTGAGGAGCCTAGTATGACAACCAGACCTTGTTGTGGCCAGTTCTCTGTAGGCAGTGATTTTGTAGATGGACTGCATAAACTTGACCAGGTGCTGTTTTTTGTTCGTGATTGTCTTCAGTCACATTTGGTCCAGGTTTCATCAATCCTTAATGATGTAAGTAAATGTTTTAAGCATATTTCATAATGTTCCCAGCAAGTTTCATAAAATTCATTCATTGTGAGTGTTGCATATTCTAGGTGACAAAGAAGGAAAAGAACATGACATCCACAAAAGGCAATCCCCTTGTTTTATTTGAAAAGCTATAAATAAATACATGAGCTGGGATACCTGAGTCAGTATCGTGTGAGTCTGTGGGCTGAATGGGCAGGGTTTCATTTCCAGCAGAGCAAGAGATTTTTCTCCCCTCTGCAGTGTGCAGACTCGCTTTGGAGGCCACCCAGCCTCTTGTCCAGTGGGTACTGGGTTGTTTTGCCCAGGGGATAAAACTGCAGGAGCGTGAAGCTGACCACTCACCTCCATCTAGTGCTGAGGTTAAGAATGGTAGAGCTATTCCCACATATTGCTTAATTAATTAGGCATGGGGACAGCTTCATCTTTTTTACCTCTTACACATAAATACTGAGGCAAACATCCACTTATTATAAAGAAGCCTAAACAGTGAAGTGAGACCAGCCATAAAAAAAAAGACCGTGCCGATGTGTTATAAGCTGTCTAGAGCTTAGTCAGTTTTGAGGCAATTGCTGGCCAGTAAGGGCATGAACATTGAAGCTGAGGAAGCTACGGCTTTGGAAACTCTTCCCAGGTGACAACTGCTAAAGATACAGCAGAGTGAGAAGACTTAGTGCATGCTGTAGTGTAATGTTCCGCAACCGGTGTGCCACCACAAGGTGAAAGGTTTGACACGAACTTTTACCTATTGTAAGAAATTAATTGTCGAATTTAATTAGTTTTATTTTATCCCACTTACCGTGTTTCATATGCTTGTATTTTATTCTCAGCCACTGCACTAATTAAATAAGATGATGCTTGTTTATTCTTTATTGCATGCCATGATTTTTTATGTACAGTAATGTTGTATTCTAAGAAATTAAATGCAATTTATTTACTCACAGTTGTTGTTATATCATAGTTTTCATTATTGATTTATTTTTATTTTTCTCGCATCTTTGATAAACTTGCCGCATGTTTGTGTACGTGCTTTTCCGTAAAACTGCAGGGATTGGCAAGGGTTTCCCTGTCTTTTATAACGCTATTTTGGTTATCATGAGGAAAAGTATTAATGCGAATATTTGAACTTAGTGAGAAGGTACGTGCATTTTTGACTGTTGAGGGGCATGAGTACGCGGATTTATTTGCAGATGTTGAATGGGTATGTAAGTTGGCATACCTTTCGGTATTTTGATACAATTGAATGAGCTGAACAGAAAGATGCAAGGTAGGAACGAAAATAAACTAACTAATATGGATAAGGTACAAGGATTTGTAAATAAGCTGAATTTGTGGATACAGAGAATTACAGATGGGTCGTTTGAGATGTTACCGACTGTATGGCCACTTGCTGACGGCAATAAAGTGGTGATGGACACAATTAAAGAACATTTAGAAATGCTGCAGCAGAAGTTCAATAAGTATTTTGGAGAGAGTGTACGAGATTTTGACTGGGTTCGTGATCCATTCGTTGCGAATTCAGAACATCTTCCGATTAATATACAAGAGGAACTCGCAGATTTAAAAGCAGACAGAACATTGAAACTAAAACTTCTCTAAGTGCCTTCGGATACGTTTTGGTTGGCAATAAGGAGTGGATACCCGGCTGTCTCTAAGATGGCAGTTAATGTGTTATTGTCATTTTCAACTACATATTTGTGTGAACTGGGCTTCTTGACGTTAACTGAAATTAAGACAACAAAGAGGGAGTGGCTCAAATCCATCGATGAAGAAATGAGACTTGCATTGTCAACGATTCCACCACAGATCATTCGCCTGTGTGCAGCTATGCAAGCGCAAGTATCACATTGAAGTTATGAGTAGAATTACCGTATTTTCTTTAATAGTAATAGAAGTGTATTTTCTACACTCTACAGTGAATTAAAGTTCATTGAATATTAATAAAAGCAAGAGTCGATTTATGTTTAATGATAATAAAATAATAATATTATAGTAATAAGTTGATCATGTTACGTATTTATATTAATTGTCTGATATCATGCGTTTTTGAGGGGAATAACATTTTGGTGTGCCGTGTTGAGTCATGGATACTTCATGGTGTGCCGCGGGTAGAAAAAGGTTGTGGAACACTGCTGTAGTGAATTGTAGAGTGTGTAGATTAGTGATAGCACTATAGTTACTTGTAGTTACGTTCTGTAAGAGTTTGGTAAATTCAATTACCAATCCAACCCCTTCTGTAGTAGTCACTCATGCACATGAAAACTGGTGTCAGAAGTGGGGTCCATGCCCATTTTGGTTATGGTTGAGGTATTGGTTTGAATTTTTAGTTTTTGATACTTTGTTTTTTAGATTCACAGTGAGTGTTTGCGGAGATTTATTCTCTCAGCTTTTGACATGGCAAGAGAGATTCAGATTACACCACGGCGAATTCATTATGCTCAGGAGAAGGAGGCAGATCTCTACAAAAGTCTGATGGTTGTTGCTAGTGAGAAGCAGAAAGAAATTACCCATCTAATAGAAGTAACACTACAAAATATGAGGGAAGACCTCATAGAAATTGCAGCAGCATACCAGTATCATGGTGTGTATATTTGTTTTTATTAATCCGTCAACACAACAATCAAATGAACAGCTCACTTCCATAATTTTGTTAACTGAGTTTATTTACCTTACGGTAAAGCTATGCAATGTGTTTCAGCTCTCATGGAGCCATCATCATGCAATACGATATATAAAGTCATAAAATATTAACTTTTATGGATCCATATTATAAAATGTCATGCATATATTTGTAAAATGATTTATAGGATAATTTTATACTGTTTTTTGCACAGCTTCATTCTACTCCTATATAAAGAGCTTGATTATGTTAAAATAACATTGAGTTTTCCTAAAATTGTTATATACAATTATGTTAGACTAAGATTTAGATGTGTGTGTAAATATTAATTCAGACTATGAGTATAGTGTCGTGGCATAGCTCAAGCGGTTAGTCACTGGCTTCCCACCACGGCAGCCCGGTTTCGATCCCGGGTCTGGTCAAGTGGGATTTGTGGTGGACAAAGTGGCTCTGGGGCAGGTTTTCTCTGAGTACTTTGGTTTCCCCTGCCAATCTTCATTCCACCAATTACTCCACAATCACCCTCACCTATCATCTGGGGCTGGTACAGTAGGCCAGAAGTGGCCGCAGTGGACTTAGTCCCACCCCACTAGCAATAATAAAAAAAACGGGTATAGTGTGCTACTGTGTTGTATTAATGTTAGACATCATGTTGATTCAATCTTAGGTTTGCTTTGTTGTCTTCTGTCACTGCTATGCTATTTACCTTCTCTTGCTTTCTTGTTTTCTGCACTGTATTTCATTCATCCATATATTATGCATTTGATGAGATGATTCTATTGTTCTGGAGTATTTGGTTTTACTCTTGTCTGTATCACTGTGCCCTCTTTCATTATCACCATGGTATGTGTTTAGTGTGTAACAGAATTGCTATGATACGATCCATCATATGAGGATTTCATATTATGCATTTCATATTTAGTCATATTTCCAGTTTAGTATGGGATAATATATTGGAAGAGGCCCTGAATTATTTATTAGAGAATGAGTTGTTTGGTGCTAAGAATTACAAAGTATTATTTTATCTGTCTTAAAAGTAAAAAATGTGCTCTAAAACATCAGAAGTATTTGTAAAAGGTATCCGTTATTACAGAAAGTACTCACCATAAGTATTAGTATCTCAAACAGAAAGTGAATCACTGGTGCAGGGAACCATGGAAGTCATTAAATTGTGTGTTGTATATCTGTGGGTTATCATGGAGGAGGAATTTGTATTGAGAAAATATTTGTTTCCACCTAAATGCTGTGTAACTTGAGAATGCTGTTGTGTAACAGGTTTTCCACGTGCCTGACAAAAAGAACTTTGCCATCAGNGTGAAATTTTGGTTTACTTCATCAGTTTTTGAACCATCAAGTTCATTCTATCTTGAATGCCATTGATTTCTTTAACTGTTTTTGACAACAAACTTTTGCTCTTTTCCAACTCTGCTATATACTGCAACAGAAAACTGCAATTTGCATGAATGTGAGTCAAGTCACTTTTTAGCAGCTTCAGTTCATTTGAGTCATTGAATATTTATTTAGATATTGCAGTGGAGAAAGCATAGTCCTCTCAAGTTCATTTACAGCAGAACAAAAGATTTCAGTGTTTTCTGCATAATACACGATGGCATCCAGCCAGGTTCCTTACCATGTAATTGTAGGGAATAGTGTGTTTGGAGTCCTGTATTTAAAGAGATGTGTTCTAACTGGTAATGACACAAACATTTTCTTGTGTACATTTGGATGAAACATAAATTGTTTCACAAACCATGTGTAAAGTGTGCCCTACACACATAACATGTATCAGTTTGTGGTAGCTCACTGGAAGTCCTTGTTCTCTGTTTTATATATGTATGGTACAGCGTCTGTAACTAGGAACAGCATGTTGTCAATTTTCCAACCATCTGGCCTCAGTCTGCGTAGCTTCATTGAAAACACATGCTGTTATTGTATGATTCACTCACACATTTTATGGCATGACAGAAGAAATTATTTCTCTAATAATATTTGATGAAACCTCAGTAACAACATGAGCAACTTTCAGTTGACCTGTACTGGTTGTTTTATCTATGGACACCCAAATAATTTCTTTCCCACACAATTGTTGCATCTTGTTCAGTGTTTCTTCATAGCATTTATGTAAATAATTTTCCCCAGAAATTCTCTCATCTGGAGGAACTGTCTGATTATACTTTTGAGGAAAATTCATAACTTCAGGATTATTTATTTAAAAAAAATATATTACTGTGGGTTCAGGTCACTTTGCACAGATCTGTCACAAAAGTCACAAATTTTCAAAGTTCCTGATGATGAAGTTGCAATGGAAGACTAACCAATTAGAGATTTCTTACCTGGCCATTTCTGTAAGCAGACAAGAGTGGTGATATGCTTGTTTCCACCTAAATGCTGTGTAACTTGA